ACGTTCCTGGTTTTAAACTCAGTACGATCTTCCCTGATCGGCTCAGAATTCGTCTACAGATTATATCTGTACATATAAATAGGCTATTATTAATACGAATCGTTAGAAAGCACATTTCCGATTAACGGTAGATTGGAGTATTTCGCATGAAGTTGGGTTATACAATAAGGATGGTGTCCTAAGAGGATGAGTGTTAATAGGGCGAAAGAAGAACATGTCTAGTAGCATAAATGCTTTGGTATCTTTGAGGAGAGAGTGCTACGGTAAGTTAGAATATTTGGAAGACATTGGAAAGATTTTAATTAATGAATACCTTATTATATCACAACTCTGGATTAAATATAAAGATAGATGTAGACAGGCTGACATATAAATTAATTTCACAGCACTTAATTACAATAATGGTGACTTTTATGAGCGTCCTAATGGCATAGTAGTAGAAAAAATGCGGACCCAATGCACGTGCATAGGTGGGTGGCCCGCGCTACCACACAAACACTATAACATTCACAGGCTAACATTGAACCCGTTTGCTTCGAGCCAGTAGGTGTGTAGAAGATTTTGGGAATTACGTCTCTGGATATACCGTCGAAAGTGGTGGGAAGATGGGTCAGGGAACAAAAAGCGTGATTGGAGGAATAGAATGGTTGCCATTTTTTTGATGGTATTCCGATAGTTACTTTGCGGATATCTCAAATGAGGCAAGAGATCTGGAGAGCAGCAACGGCTGAAAAAACAATTAGCTGGGGGTACTCATGGATATCGCATGTCGAGTCCATTTTTATGGGAGTTGCACAGATTAACTGATTTACTGATTTTTTTGTTATAATTAATCTCTTGGCAAAAGGACGTCTTAAGAAGGTGGGAAAATAGGGAACGCAAAACGTTCACTTTGGCATACAGAGGAGTTTGGTGGGTCTGAAGGATTGCAACCTGTTTAGTCTATAACTGGACGCCTAAGTGGTAATGTGCATCGCTGTGGTGTCTTTGCGGTGTATAGGTGTAACGAAAACTGGAAACATCCATCATGGGCTTACCATTTATAACTTTGTCTGTGGCATATCAAAAGGGTAGCTTCCGATTATTATCGCATAGATAGATGTAGGGATTATATCAAATGGATGCAGCGCCAATGGCGCGAAAATTACATATCTCTTCTAACTCATTTAAATACTGAATAAACAGGAAAAATTGACTGTGAGACGACAATCTCTGCTCTGGAAAACTATTTTAAGTTGTGAAAAAAGAATACTAAAGGTATATGAAAGAATAGGGGCAACTAATTTTTTTTTAGGAAATGGTCCGGACGCTGATTTAGGTTAGAAACACTAAGACAAATTTAGGGAGGGATAGGGAAATAACAGCACTGGTTAGCGGGCTTGGAAGACGGAAACAGCCTATAAGCGTATCTTTGGGAAGAGCACAAATAATATAAGGGTTTCAACTTAAAGAAACTAAAAACATTTGCCATTTAAGATACTTGAACATAATATATTTATACTCGCTATAAGGAAGTTAGTACAGAGTCAGATATTTCGTATAACGAAAATATAGATCACTAAGGGGTCGTAGACCAGTCAATTTCTAGGAAATAGATTAAATTTTTAAAGATAACATGGTAATATTCAATATTAAACAATTCCCCAAATTAATCAATTTTAAATTGTTATAGGAACTGGGGGCATAGTAATGTGTTTGTAAAGTCCACATTAGGGGGTGGAAAAGGAGAAGGAGGGGAATTCCACAAGAAAATGTTACAGAGGCAGAAGGCGGTTGGTAGGCGAAAAAAGAGAATAACTTCAATGATAGCGCACTGGAACGTGTCAATGTTTTGGTTTAAAGAGATCATGGATTTGAGAGAGAAACGAAGCCCTGGGTGGAGGTCTCTTAGAACTGTAGGGATTATTCTGTAGGACTATGCGCCTAGGCCGGCGTTGTTTACCTAACAACTGGGTCCAGTTCATATCGGAGTGGAAACGGTGGCTCCGAGGTATTGATTTGCTGAAGGTTGGTGAGGGAGTCGCAAGCACTTGGAAGGTACTGACGGCGGAGTAGCGCGGAACGGGATATAAGCTCACTAATCGTGGGATTGGGATGAACAGCAACAGAGTCTGATTTACGGGCGCCACCGCCTGGGGCCGGGCCGGCGGGCGGGCCGTGGCGCCGGACCAAAAAGTGCGACTACTAGAAGAAAATATAAAATAGCTAAAATATACTGTAAAATGTCAGGCTATAAGATTTCAGAAAATTATACTATAAATCCGTTTTAACTAATACCGCCGTTAGGCCCTTGTGGCTTCTGGACAGGCTAGGTGTTTTCCCCCTCGCCCCGATTTTTCAGGGTTTTTGTTCTGAGCCGTAACCCTTGTTGGTCTCTTTTCCGGCGGCTTTTGATGCGATGGGAAGACCATTTGGGGTAAAACTCCAGAATTCGAAAGATTAGAAGCGAAAGGGATGTAGGTATTTGTACTGGCTTACAAGGCTTTCGGCCTAGCCAACATTAGGCAAGTAATGTAATTGTGT